AACCTGCATCTACAGACATGCTAAGTAGAAGCTCATGATAATGAGAATTTGTTCCACTTCATGCCTTCTCCAGTGCAGCAGCTCCTTTAAGGGAAGGGCTCTGGTTGTTGTGCTCACCAACTGCTTTTGCAGCTGTATTTTTCCTGTATTTTGCTGATTGCACCTCACTAAGCAGCACAGGGAGGCGTGAGGTGCATGTTATAATACCCATCAGCCCCAGTTAAGCAGCCAGGGAGCAACTTATGAGTGTCATTCAGAGATCAGCGTAGCTTTGGGGTAGTTTCACATCTAGGAAACCTGCTCACTAAGAGATATAGTGCCTCCCACCACCTCTTCTGGAAGCTCCTGGACACCTCTCAGGGCTGTCCTGGGTCCCAGTCCGAGTTGCTTACCTCCTTTATGGACTGCTCAGGGCATGCAAGTGTTTAATGTCAGCTTCCTAGGGTCACTGGCCCAGGGTTATGGAAACACCCAGTGCTTAGAGGGGTAAATCCTTTGTTGAGTGTAGCCTGATACCTGTCAGACACTGATATTCTTCAGTGCTGCCTAATCTGGTGATGGAGCAGATCATCTTGAGTGCCATCACATGGTACATACAGGACAACCAGGCAATCAGGCCTAGTCAGCATGGGTTTATGAAAGGCAGGTCCTGCTTGGCTAACCTGATCTCCTTTTATGACAAGGTGGACGCTTAGTGTATGAGGGAAAGGCTGTGGATGTTGTCTACCTAGACTTTAGGAAAGCCTTTGACAGAGTTTCCCACAGCATTCTCCTGGAGAAACTGGCTGCTCATGGCTTGGACGGGCATATGCTTCACTGGGTGAAAAACTGGCTGGATGGCCGTGCCCAGAAAGTGGTGGTGAATGGAGTTAAATCCAGTTGGTGGCTGGTCACAAGCAGTGTTCTGCAGGGCTCGGTATTGGGGCCAGTTCTGTTTAATTTCTTTATCAATGATCTGGACAAGGAGATCAAGTGCACTCTCAGTAAGTTTGCAGACAACACCAAGTTGGGCAGCAGTGTTGATCTGCTTGAGGGTAGGAAGGCACTACAGAGGGATCTGGACAGGCTGGATCGATGGGCCAAGGCCAATGGTATGAGGTTCAACAAGGCCAAGTGCCGGGTCCTGCACTTGGGTCACAACAACCCCATGCAATGCTACAGGCCTGGGGAGGAACAGCTGGAAAGCTGCTGGGGAAAAAGGACCTAAGAGTGTTGGTTGACAGATGGCTGAATATGAGCCGACAGTGTTCCCAGGTGGCCAAGAAGGCCAAGAGCATCCTGACCTGTATCAGGAATAGTGTGGTGAGCAGGACTAGGGAAGTGATAGTCTCCCTGTACTCAGCACTGGTGAGGCCCCACCTTGAGTACTGTGTTCAGTTTTGGGCCCCTCACTACAAGAAAGACTTTGAGGTGCCGGAGCGTGTTCAGAGAAGGGCAGCGAAGGTGGTGAGGGGTCTAGAGTGCAAGTCTTAAAAGGAACAGCTGAGGGAAATGGGCTAGTTTATCCTGTAGAAAAGGAGGCTGAGGGGAGACCTTATTGCTCTCTACAACTTCCTGAAAGGAGGTTGTAGGAAGGTGGGGATGAGTCTCTTCTCCCAAGTAACAAGTGATAGGACAAGAGGAAACGGCCTCAAGTTGTGCTAGTAGAGGTTTAGATTGGATATCAGGAAAAATTTCTTCACCAGAAGGGTTGTCAAGCATCGGACCAGGCTGCCCAGGGAAGCAGCTGAGTCACCATCCCTGGAGGTATTTAAAAGACAATGTAGATGTGGTACTGACGGACATGGTTTAGTGGTAACTTGGCGGTACTAGGTTAATGGTTGGACTTCATGATCTTAAAGGTCTCTTCCAAACATTTTCAGCCATTTTCAGAGCAGTGTAAGCATGACATGAATTCATGCCTTTACTGTGTAATGACAAGAGCAAAATTCATCTTCTCTATAGGGAGCCTTCATTATAAAAGAACTAAAACCCATTAGAAGTATACCAATACACAACATTCGCTCCCATTTGTCTAAGAAGGAAACACAGTACAGGAGAGCTCACTGTGAGCAAGATTGACTGTAAACTTCTGCTCCACAAAGATAAAAGTTTTATAGCTCATTACAAAATGTGCACGTGCAAGATTCAGAGGAACACAGAGAAGATTTTTTTGTTATCATAAGGATCAGAAAATTAACTTGGCAGTCAGTTAAGGTGCATTCTTAGTTCAAATTTCAAGGTAAACTTTTTTATTATTATTCCACAGGAAATAGCAGAGACCACACTAGCACACAGTGACGAACTCCTTAGAACAATAAGCAGGTTCAGCTCCTCTGTGTACCTACACTCTGCTAAAATGCTGAATGATGCTGTGGTCATACCTGCAGCATTATCTCAGCACAGCATTGCACTGGGTTGTCTGCCCTCAACCGCCTCTGCGAAGGATGCAGTAAAAGCGGTCACACTGAGAAATGACTCATGGGTGCCTGCGCCCACGCCAGACTCACGTGCAGCAGTGAGCTGAGTTTTTTGTGAGGACGTAGCCCAAACCACAGAAATATGCACAAAATTATTACCTGCTTCCCCAGGTATTACCTGCTTCCCCATCATATGAAAACAGAAGGAGGAGAGATTCACCATTGTTCAGGCTGTAATCAAGGGTTAAAGACATCTAAGTAGAATGTGTATGACCTCTTGTGCATCCAAGGCATCTGGATATTTAGTGTATTTAAATATGCCTGTGAATTGCTATTGTGTGTAATGATCCCGAGATCATCATAAAGAAATAAATAGGTGACTTGGTAGAGGAAAAGGTGGCTTGCGGGAAATATGACCTGAAGGAATTGTGAGAAGGCACTGCAGAATGGGAAGCACTCGACTTATATCACCTGGTTTATCTTATCAGGCCCTGATTAGCTGGCACTCACTCATACTGTTACCAGCACATGAAGTGGTGCCATGCTTCCTCGGTGCTGTGTAGGTGCCTGTAGCTGAGGGCTGAGAGAACTGGACTTTTCCAACTTTGGCAGGGTTATGCTCTGAAAACTACCCCAAATCA